ACCTGGCTGTGTTTGATCTGAGAGTTCTGATAGTGTATGCCTGAACAACGGTGCGGGTGCGTGAAAGCTTGCAAATAAATACTTTTTTTGGGAAATATCTATTTGGTCTAATAAAAAATATCATCTCTGCCAAAAGTTCTGATTCCTTCTCACTGCTCATGTGACATTTGTGCTCCTCTCTGCTCAAGGGTGTATATGTCTAGTGTGAAATAAAGAGATTATTCTAAGAATATATCCATAGTTCATTTTATTGATTTCTCCTCCAACGTAAACTGTCTTGCAAGGCTCTAATGTTGCTACAGCCCAACAGAAGGGGAACAGTACTGCTTCGCAATAACTGTGTGTGTTCAGCCCTTTTGATTTTGTAAAGAACATTTTAATTTCATTTCCTTATACACATATACACACTAGCAAACTTTGTTAGTAATGTTTAACATCTTCTCTATATTTGGTTGAATCAGTATAATCATGGAGGTATAATTGAAGTGGTAATTAGACATTATGCCACCCAACAGATCCCAAATTGTATATCCTTGAATGAGAAACTTGGTCTTCACTGAAAGTTGCCCATAAGTTGCTTCACACTAATTGGAAGGCCAAGTCCTTAATGTAATAGAGGAGGTAATGCTATTACTAGTTATTGTGGGCATATGCTTCCTTGTGACATAATTCCTGGGCAGTGTACTGAACACAACCTTCAGAGGCTATTTTGCCCCATCAGACAATGTTCCATCCTTGGCAATGGACAGATGAGTGTTGGAAAGCATTACCCATAGCCATGAGATCCACTTCCATTCTTTCCCCTCAGCTATCCCCCTTCATAGACCTTTTCACAGTAGCTTGTTACCAACAGAAGAGGCTACATTGCTGTGTCAAGGAATCATGGAGGAGGTTCTTCAGAAATTCAGGGGAGGAGGCTTTCATTTCTGATACTGCTTAATTTTAAGGGTCTTCACTCCACCCTAGGCATGAGGTAACTCAACAAATATATGCACTGCCTAGTGATTTTAGCAGAAGTATAAATATCAGATCTTATTCCACTGACTTGGCACCTAAATGGACCTAGGTGCAATCTAGTTCCATCTTTCTCAGACCTCTAAAAACTCATCTCCTTTTGTAACATGCTAGCATTTTATCCATAAGACTAAGTCACAAAAATGAACTTAGGAGAAAGAGGATCTACCCACCAAACGCTTAGGTTAACAGCTTTCCAGGAATTCAAGCAGGATGGAATAGGATCAAACTTAGGAGCCGTACATGTGGAATAGTAGCTGGTCCTACTAACTTCAAGGCAGTAAACTCCTGGGGTGTTTATAGACATGCTTCGGAGGTGCGGGGTACATGCGGGGCGGGGGGGGGGGGGGGGGGGGTGCTTTAATTAACACAGATACAAGAGCTGCACTAATTAAAGTGCAGGGAATGTCATGTGTATTAGCATCCCCATGCTGAAAAATGGTGGCAGGTTGATTTGGACTAAAGCTCAGCACGGGACACTGATACATGTGATGCTGGAGTCGGCTGGAATGTTTTAATTACCCCTCCTCTGCAGCTCTTTCCAAGTCCGCTGCCCCTGTTTGGGGAGCAGGGGCCAGGAGCTTCCTGCTGCCAGCAGCCCTGGCCAGTAGACAGCCATGTTCCAGCCATGTTCCAGCCCTGGCCAGTAGACAGCTGTCTCCTGGCTTGGGGCTCCCTGCCAGCCCCTGGGTTAGCACCCAAGGGGAGCCTAAAGTTCCCATTGGACAGGGCCCCATTGCAGGGCCCCAGGAAGTGGGAGCAGTTTGCTGCCAGGAGCAGCAGATCTTCTTCTGCTTCCCTGCATGTGTAGATGCCTTCCCAGGAGCATTTACTCACGAGTAGTTTACTTGCAAATAAACTGATCCCAGATCAAATGCATGTGTAGACACACCCACTGTGTAAAAGTGAAAGTACGGTCTGCATGCAACACACAAGGAGCAGAACAATGAGCAGGTTCAGCTCCCTTGCTGCTGCTACTCAGTTGTTTACTGTAAGGAAAGAATTTTTTCTTCATTCAGCCCTTTCAGAAACAAGCTGTGCATCTTATTCTGGGGCATATTTTATGTGAGAGAGTACTTGAGAGTCAGTATTTGCCTGACTGTATTGGAGGATGAATAACTTTCAGAAGTATTTGTTGATTCATTTTTATTAAACTATAATGAAATGTGTCAAATAAATTTTCAAATAATAGGCAATCAACTTTATCCTAATGATAAATGTGAATGATGATAGTACTGGCCAACCTCATGGGGTATTGTGAGGCTAGATTTGTTGATAGATTTAAAACTGTCTAAGCATTGTTTAAGTGTTATAGTTGTGTATCTTCCAGTTTTCAGAATTTGGCAATATAAAATTCAATATACATCTTATATATTTCCTATTTAGTTCTTTTGCCACTGAATTAAAATCACATTAAGCCTCTCACCTGTAGTATGTTTATCCTCAGACCAATGAACTATAGTTTATAATCCCCTACCACAATTCTATTGTTAGAAAACATTTTCATAATAATTCTCATATATATTACATATTTTCTTACATTACTAATTTCTGAGCCAGTAGAGTTCTACTATCTACTGGTTAATAACAGGAGAGAATGTATTTGTATTTTATCCATAATTCTTCCTGTTGACCTGTTTTATTATTGTTTTTTAGTCAAATGGTCTTCAGGCAATAACATTTCCTGGAAAAATTACATGTTAAAATCATAGTGTATATATCATTAACGATGTGTAGGGGGTGTACACGGGTGCATGTGCACCCCCTGAGCGTGGCGGTGCACCCCCTATGAAAAGGCACCACCGACACTGCCACTTGCCACCCCCCAACCCACCACCGACACCACCAGCAGCATCTGCAGACAGTCAGCAATCACTGCTGGCCAACGCTGCTGCTTCCGGTGGCACTTGTGGGTGGTTGCCGACCCCTGGTCGGTGCTTGCCACACATCCCCACTGCCGCCAACACCGGCGACATCAGTTTTAAACATAGGGTCACTGGGCGTGTCTACATGTTGCCCTATGGTGATGTTGTTACTGCGCCATGTGGCGACATTGTTACAGTAGCCTTTGGGAAGTAATAAAGCATGATGCAGTAACCACCCGTACTGCACTGTACACATGGTTATTTTTAGCAGCTACTTCACCATAAAGGTGGGTTATAATGGGGGTTTGCGCTACTGTGCCAAAGTAGCTGCTGGTCACATGTAGACACCAGTGGATGCTACAGCAATGTAGCGTCACGTGGAGATGTGCCCACTGATTTTGTAAATCTTTTTGTGATGGGATTGTTTGGGTGAAAAAATCTTTTGTGGTCTAATGCAAGTATGGGTAGATGCCATGGTCAGATTCAGGTAACAATAAGTATTAGGTTTTGTCCTTCAGGTGGATCGGGGTTAAGCCACAAATACCCCTTACTCACAAAAGCACAGAGCAAAAGAAGTGCAGATAATGGGCAGAGAATTAAATGGACCAGGATGTCAGTCCTCAACTGTGCTGAGCTCACACTTGCCTAAATGATTTATCGTTGTACTTATTTATCTTTTTTCTCTTTATGGTTAGTACTTGGATGCACCTACTGTATGCTCAAAAGTGTTCAGTCTCATGGAACTAATTCCCTGAGTGATGAATGTAGGCCTGAGTAAAGGTCAATGTCTAACCAGTCTGTTCTAGAAAACCTAACACTGGCTGCATCTATACATGCCGTGCTGGTGCAGTAACAGTCTGTGCTGCACCGTGTACACCATGCACAGTTAATTTTAGGTACTACATCACTGTAGCAATGCGCTATAATGGGGGAGCAAATTGGTACGACAAGATAGTTGTAGTGTCACGGTTCTTGCCTACGGATGCTACATCACTGTAGCGCATTGCTGCGGCGACCTAGCGTCACCTGTAGACATGCCCACCGAAGAGTTCATTACATGTTTACAGGTTTGCCCAGGGATTGCGTGTTTTCCTCTGTGGCAAGTCACATTAGGTTAGCATAGGACTGGCAGCTGAACAGCTAAAAACCTGTTGAACTCTAAAAATGAAGCTCAAGTCAGCTGTTAAGAAGGCTGTTCAGTCTCAAGCTTAATCAGCCAACCCCAGAACTCTTGGATGAGACTACCAAGCAGGGTGTCAGATGCTGACAGTTACTAAGCCAGTTTTTTGCAATGTGGAAATCTGTTCTCTAGGAACAAGACTGAGACAATAAGACTGATGAACATATTTAAGTGCTTTGTTGAATTGGTCCCATAAGTCATCCCCATTGCAGCTTTTTCTTTTGAACTCCTGTGAAGCCCGTAGAGGAATTTAAACCTTCCTATAACAGGAGGACTCACTTGGGAAGGCAGAAGTGGTAACTGCCTGCTGTTTCTAAGGAACTAGTTGTTTTTATAACGTAGTAGCTTTAAGGGTGCACAGAGATACAATTTTGACCTCTCTGGAGGTCCTGGGGTTCTAGCCTTACAGCTGGACAGTAGTGATCATGACAGACAGGTATTACTATAAGCTCTTTGATGTAGAGGGACTACGCTATGTTTGCACCATATCTAGAACAGTGCTGGGTTTAGTCCCTGATTAGAACACCTTCTAAATGCTTCTACAATACAAAGAAATCATAAAATATCTCTACACTGCAGATTGCAAGGAAATGTGAAGATACCTGAGCTTGCTGTAACTGATCTAATTCAGATACTGAGCATAGCTTGGCTACAGAAACCTGGTTCTCATTGTGGGCTGTTAACTCCAAAGGAACTGGGTAAATTAAGCCTTATTAAGTTCCTTACTGCTCTAGCTAGAATGCTTCAATGCCCATGTTAGTTCACTTATAGCTACTTTGGGTGTCCCTATGCCTCACTGTGGTCTGCACTGAGGACATCAAATACTTATTAAAATAAAGGACTGAACTTTAAAGCACCGCTGACACATTTATTTGGCCCGGGTACTGTCTTGTTATTAAAGTAAAGCAGAAGTGACTCTGAGATTAACCTGAAGGTGGAACTAATGAAATGACAACTGTTAATAACTCTGCATTCCTTCAACAGAAAAAACTGCTTAGAAAGTCTAATGGATGAAGATGAGAAAGACAGGGCAAAGAGGTGAGCATATTTTTCTCTTAAAACTCTTTGTTCATTTTTTGATGAACGCATGGTGATACATTGCTGCAGATGCTTTTTTTCCTGATACTAATTAACGCAAAGAGAGAGAAAAATAAATTCTAGAACAACTTGAAAAGCGGTTTGAATCACAAACCACTATTATCAGCTACCCTAGAAAGATAAAAGAAGTTCGGTAGTGCTTCCTGCAAAAAATGTCAGCCAGCCAAATACAGTGAGTGGTTCTTTTTCACATTACTGCACAGTATCAGAACCAGAGAACCAACAGCACACTTGTATTCCTGGCACAATACTTCTTCCTTGTCCACTACATCTAGAAAATATACAGGTTACTCTCTGCATTTTTTCAAACACGCATTTTGTAAAAGAAACATGGACTGTTTGTGGAAAACACAGATTTTTTCTTTTTATAGTACCCATTTTATACAAAGATGGCTCTAGTGGTAACAAATACTGTACTGAGTACCTTTAAAAGTTACTGTGGCAACAAAGAAACAACACTACAAACAATATTTTAGATCTAAACTGGCACAAAAATCACTTCATATGTGGTAGGTATCATCTACAGTGATAAAATCACATTTGATTCATATGTAAGAGACTGGTGCTAGCACTTTGGAGAAGATGTTTTTTAAAGTAGAAAAAGATTGGTTGCAATGAAATTCTATAATAAAAGACAACCCATACTGGCATCTGGAATGTCACAAAACCTGCTTGCTAGCAGTTTTCCTGGGAGCATTATCAATCCTGCAACCACCAGTTTAATTGGTTTAGAGGAAGTCTTAGATTGCATGTATTTTTTTTTATCTTGGTTCTTTCTAATGAGAGTATTTCCAGTCCAGGCACAACTAGTTTATCCAGTTTGATCTCTTTTGATTCTTTCCCTGCTTCTTATCTCCCTGCAGCCTTTTTTCACTTATATAGGTCAGAACACACTGCAACCAAACTCAACTGTTCTCTGCTTCTTTTTCTAATTCATGCATGTTCAAGCCGCAGAAGCCCAGTGTTTAATACCAGGAGCACAGAGCTGACCTAGCTGCTACCACTTTGGACTTCAGGGAAGGTCTTGTGAGGCCAAGGGTCCATTAGACCCTGGAGTCACTCTACCATTACTCTTAACAAGGATCTTAATGCACTTGAGACTTCCTAAACATAGTACTATTAGTGCACAGTAAAAAGAAGCTGTATGTAGGGATGTGCCAAACCATCTGTAAATAATATATAGATCTGCAAACAGAGGAGGAGGAGAATAAAGGATGCCTCATGCCACATTACATCATGAAAAGATGTTTTTGGAGATGGCGTATCACAGCTGGAAGTGTCTTACCAAGTGTCAAGTATTATAGCATTCCTGAAATGCAGGATTGTTTTGCAAGCAGTGAGATACTGAAGTGAAGGAGAGAACAGAGGGAGGAGTTCAAGATTTCTATGAACTCCAACCCATAGGTCCAAATTGTTTTAATTTTGATACAAGCTAACCATTCAGAAATAGGATAGCACGTATCTTTATATCAGTATGTATCATTACCATTTGCTGTAATTTTAATGATGCATATGATTTTTTTGTGAAACATTGGGTGGATAAATTGATGATTTTCAAAAACTGAAAAAAATCTGATTTTTTAATTCAAATTCAGTGTTTATGAAAATAAAAGGCATTTTACTTTTTAAAATAAACATATTTAATATTCCATTTTAAATTAAGGTAGCATGTATTAAGCAGTGAATTTACTCCAATCTATTAAAATAATTCAGAATTGGATGCAAAGTGGTAAAACAGCTTTCAACACATGTAGGCTCTTCTATAGTCTGGAGAAACTATTTTCTTCATTTCAGTTTAGTTCAGTTAAATAAATAGTTCATTCAAAGTTGAGAAATTGACTGGGAGTCAAAAGACCAGAAAGGCTTGTTTTCTACTTTTTGGAGAAACAGTAGATATGAAAAAGGCGGTGATGTACTACTTCTAAAATCTTCTAGGTCACGATGACCGAAGTCAATCAGTTTGCATTACTAACTACAGATACTATTTCCTTTGCTTAATAAATCAGTTTGTTATACATGCAAAACCTGCTTGGATCATTTTTTTCTTATATATCCAGCACACGTAGCTTAGTTTTAAAACATGCTGGTTTTGTACATTTTTAATTTAATTCAAATTTCCCTCCAAAAGCATCCTGACACAAATTGCACTTAAAATTAATCATTTAGTAAGTAAAAAAACATCATTCTCCATTTTCTTATATAAAACACACAAAAGTTTAGAACCTGAAGAAATGTATGTTAATCTTTATAATGTCCTAATTCTGCACATAATGCAATCCCCTGATAATCAAAAAGTTCTGACAAATTTAGTGTAAAGATTATATTAAACTGGAAATACACTGGAAGAATTAGAAGGGGTCTTCAGGCTAAAATGGAGTGAGGATTGAATAATACGAAAATATCATGTTCTTTACTTCCCTCCTGACACATTTAGTTGTTCAAAAATGTAGGGATGATGCTCTTCAAATCTTGTTCTTAACAGTCTCTTATGCTGGACTAGGAGTAGGCTGAAATCAATCACACAGAATACACCCAATTTATTGTATTGATAGCTGTAAAATAATCAAATATTTGATTGTTTCCAGTGTATCTCAAAGTGTTTTCAGAGTTCAGAACAAGACAAACAAAAATTACCCTTCTGTCAGTAGAAACTTACAGTATCTCTCCTGAAAAAGTTTATTGCAATATTGGTCCTTGGACAAAAGTAAATATTCTATCCTGATTCCCACCAGTGTGTATCCAGAATTCCTCATGAGTTATGGTGGATTTAGAAATGTAGAGTTGAATTGGCCTTTTGATTGTTAAATCACATCTGACTTCATACCAATTTTCATACATTTTAACAAAGCAAATTGTAGCTTAAAGTAATATCCTTGGTTGCTCTGGAACCTTTCAGCTAAGGGAGCATTTTGGAGGGCATATTCTTCAGTTTATCTTGTGCATGGCTAAAGAAATCCAACTAATGTCTGCCTTAAACGACATCGTCCTGGGAGACAGTGAAGAGCATAATTCCTAGTTTATGACTAAGTATAAAATAAAAAGTACCAATTAAATTGAATTAGAACCACCAAAAAGATTATTAATAATAGTAATAACACTATTTATGATAGCCCCTAGAAGCACCTACTAAATTTGGTTTCCTATGTTCTAGGTAAAAATTCATGGGAAAAGATAGTTTCCAAAGAGTTTGCATTCTGTAATAGATAAGACAGGCAAAGGAAGTAGTATTGCTCCCATTTCACAGATAAGGAATTGAGGCACAAAGAAATTAAGTGATTTGTTTAATGGCTCATAAAGAGTGTGGGATAAAACTTGGAATGATGCCTGGAAACTGTGAATCAGTCCTGAGCTTAAACCAGAAGACCATCTTTCCTTTTTTCAACTGCAATTTGACAGGATGGTTATATCCTGCAATAGTTTACATATTATTTTTTCATCTAACTAAAAATAATTCAAGATCCCCAAGCTTCTAGATCAGCCCAGAACTTGTTCCTGTATGAATGCTGTGTGGTTCATAGAACATTTTGTCATGTTATGTACACTTATATCTTGCCTTATTGCCAGTACCTCTTTTTGTAGATGCATACATTTTGAAAATAATTGTGCATGCACACAAACAAGCTGCATCCCCAAGACAGGCTTTATAATTTGTCATAAAACAAAGAGAATAATTTTTTCCACCTGTAGTTCTGTTTCTGGAGTGACAAGGGGAAGAAGGACAGTTGAACCAGGCTGTGGTCACTGAGTTAGCACAGCCATAGAACAGTCAAGTCAAACAGCAGATGGGAATCAAATCTGTCTCCGATTCATCTCTTATCTAGCACATGGCCTTTAAAGATGCCTCAGTAAAGAGGGAACAGAATGAGAATGGGGAGTAGGAAAGGTTACTTCTTGTGGGTATACTTTTGCCTAACAGCAAATATTTTTCTTAATAACGTATTGCAAAAGGAGTATGCACCTATTATATTTTCTTGCTCCTTTCCTTACATTTTTCCATATTTACAGGGCTTCACGTAACAAGTCTGAAAAGAAGAGGCGTGACCAATTCAATGTTCTTATCAAAGAGCTCAGCTCCATGCTTCCAGGGAACACCCGCAAAATGGACAAAACTACAGTGCTTGAAAAAGTCATTGGCTTTCTGCAGAAACACAATGGTAACATCTGCCATGCCTGTCCATGCCTAGTCAGACTGCATAATATCCCTGTTACTCTGCTGGTGGTCAAGAGTGGATGAAATGGTCAAAATATCACAGTAGGAGTTTTCTTTTCCATGTTGTAGTGTATTACAAGAAAACTTAAGAGCACTGTTTAGGATAGGATAGATCTCCTTAGGGATAGGGTGCAGAGAATGGATGGACATCGGGCATCTAGGAAAGATGGGTGGCAGATCTCTAAAATGGAACTGTGAGCTTAGGAGGAAAACAAGTATGTGATTGCTCTGGGCAAAAACATGATTGGGGAAAGGAGGAAGCTCTTCTCTCAGTGAAAGAGCAAAATATTTTTCCCAGCTATTCTAAAGATAGGTGTGGGAACCCAGGTATTTCTCCAGTTCTGGACTACTGTAGGGAGACTGTGACCCCTGCAGACTGTGGAAAACTCTGTCATTAAGAGCCACTGTTGTAACATAGGGTTCAGAAAATGCATCTATAAGCATTAGCATGTACAAATTCCACACAGTTTGCATAAGAAAACACTAAATTTGTCCTTGCATAAATTTCAGGTACATTGTATGAGTTAGGTTTGGAAGGGCATGGTTTTATTTTTGAATACATCCAAAGGGAACCTCTTTATTTTAAAAGAAAAAAAGAAGAAGTGGCAGCTCTACCACTGTCTCAGTCTTCTTCACTAATCCCTGCTAATCCAATCTTTGTGGCCTCTCTGAGCAAAAACTTAAAATGTGCGGAGGTGTTTGGAATTTCTGTGAGGTGAGCAAATGCCTTGTGGTGCAGAAAACTGATAGGAGCATTGCAAAGTTGCCTTGCAGAGTTTTCACTGAATTGCTGTCTCTTCGTTCCACCCCAGGGAATAGGCACATCTTTCTGCCCCTTAGTATTCACATGTCCCATGAGAGATGTGTGCATCATGAGGAGTTCGTTGGAGGCTTTGCAAAGGCTTCAGATTCTTGGCAGGGGAATTTTGTGCAAATACGAGATCAGCCTGCTGAGGGCCCCCTTTGGGCTTCAGCCCAAAATTTGAATACCACTGAAGTCACCCACGGCTGATTTTCATTTACAACAAGGCCTTTTTACACTGCTCCTGTGAGAATCAGGCCCAAGATATCCAGAAGTTAACAGTGCCCATGGCCCTGTGAAATCCTGTCGACTAAAGCAGGATTTCATGTGTGTGAAGGGGTTTGACCTCACAGAGCAGCTTGCCTAGCGAGTTAATGTACCGTGCCACTTGCTCTCCTTTATTCCTTTGACAACCTTTCCACCCGCTCACAGTTGAGAGATATGGGCGTAATGAAAGAGAACATAAAATCTCTTATACCATGACTCCCAGCATAATGAAGTCACAAATGTCAAACTTTCTGAGGAAATAATTACAGTTATTCTGTTGTTAGACTGATGTTTCTTTTTTAATAAAAGTCTGCCACAGACAAGATGATTTCTTGCAGGAGGGCATGACTGGGACATCTGAAAGTTTTATTGTACCTGTTATTCTTTGATAATTGTATATACCTATTAAAATGTGACAGTAATAATGTATCCTTTTTTAGCTGCCCAAGGCAAAGCAAAGGAGAGCGCTAATATGCTCGCTTAAAAAGCCAACCACATGGGGTTTGAATAAGTGTAGACAGAGTAGTTGGCTGCCCCAATAATTTATTTTAAAAATACACTTTATTTAATATAGAGATCAACTAGGTAAGAGTGAACAGACACAATCATTACAATTCTGTGGAGAGGCTGGATAAGTGTTATTATTTTGAGCAGTTGTTAAAAAAGGGGTCAGGCAAAAATTCTTTTTTAAAATTGAAATCAATATTAGTCATGCACCACAATGCAGAAATTCCCAATACAGGTTAAAAACATTACTTTATCTCCAGTGTGGGTGATCATAGTTTTATTTTGTTTATTAAGTGGTGTTTCTCTTACAGTCAGAATGCGAAAGCAAGAGTTAAATTCTAATAGAAAAGTAGATCAGTTTTCAGACTTCCCATTCAATAAACAATCCCTTTCTTTCTAATCCAAAAAGATTGTTAACCTTCAGAATTCTCCTAGAAAATATTTTAAGTATGAGAGCTTTTCCATGTTATTTATCTACCTTGCAATATTCCCTAATTAAGAGATCATTGGAGCTGATTCTTTCCCCCTCACCCCACCCCATACATAAGCTAAAATACATATGTAGTAATGTTCTGGTCACGTAGGGCCATTGCACTATGGTATCATGACAACTACAGCATGCTGAATGTTAGTTAAGTATACTGTTATTGAGAAGCAGACTGCTGGAGCTCTAAAATATAGTACTAACTCATACTTGAGTAGATGCTTTGATTTAGTTCCAGGAGCCATTACACAGACATGGTTACAAGTTTACTACCTTTCATATTTTTCATCCATTTTTTATATATGTGGTCAGTCCGTCTCCTCCCTTAGAAGAGAACTTTGTGTTAATTACTTCATATAGGTCGATAGATTAGATTAATTATCAGGTAGCAGTGATATACTGCATTCAGTCTTAACAGAACCACTGGTGCTGTTACCTTTATTAAAGCTTCACTTTTATTAAAAAGGTGCTAATACTAAGATAATAAGCAAACATTTTTTTTTAATTGTGAAATTAATGAAAAAAAATGTATGACAAAGGCATGAATGAATGAATTAGCTACCTGCATTGATAGCAAACAATATTTGTTGGAGAAGTTATTTGGAATACATTATTCAACAAAGATTATTCAACCAACTCTAATTTGGGTTCAGCCCTAAGTATGGAGCCATGATTCATAATTATGATGCACTTGCACTCCTCCAAATTCATAGATTCATAGATTCATAGATGCTAGGGTCGAAAGGGACCTCAATAGATCATCGAGTCCGACCCCCTGCATAAGCAGGAAAAAGAAGTTCTTCCTAATGTCCAATCTAAATCTGCTCTCTGCTAGCTTGTGGCCATTATTTCTTGTAACCCCCGGGGGCGCCTTGGTGAATAAAACCTCACCAATTCCCTTCTGTGCCCCCGTGATGAACTTATAGGCAGCCACAAGGTCGCCTCTCAACCTTCTCTTGCGGAAGCTGAATAGATCCAGTTTCTCTAGTCTCTCCTCGTAAGGCTTGGTCTGTAGGCCCTAACCATATGAGTGGCCCTTCTCTGGACCCTCTCCAGGTTATCCGCATCCCTCTTGAAGTGCGGCGCCCAGAATTGCACGCAGTACTCTAACTGCGGTCTGACCAGCGCCCGATAGAGGGGAAGTATCACCTCCTTGGACCTATTCGTCATGCATCTGCTGATGCACGATAAAGTGCCATTGGCTTTTTTGATGGCTTCGTCACACTGCCGACTCATGTTCATCTTGGAGTCCACGAGGACAAATGGAAGCTTAAAAGGTAGAAGAGCACTTATTAGACAGTCTTACATATGCCAGAACAGAACACTAGCAGAAACCTCCAGGCAGGTTTGCAGTTCAGTTTTTTATTTTAAAGGGTAGGAGGTTGCATATGAACAGGTGCTTTATGAAGGAAATAATTTTCTGCCCCACCCCGTGCTCTGCACTGCCCTAAGGAGCTGGGTGCAGGGAGTATGAAGAGGGCTGTTCTATTGCAAGTGATGGTTGTACCTCTAATGCTTCACCTGTACACTGAGGAAGGGGGAAAGGGCTGTGCTTTTTGAGAGACAACCCCTTTTCTGCCTTCTTCAAAGTTTGGTCACTGCCCACTACTCAACACCATAAGCCAGAATCTAGCTCCTTATAATTCCCATACCAAGTTTGGAACTTACTCAGATGTAATTGCATATTTAATATATTCTGGGCAGATCTACACATGATATTAATGCGGCTGAATAAATTCTGACGCAGTCATGCCAGAGTTTATTGCTCAGGTGCCCGGGACCGCAGCATGTTGATCCAGGCTGGAGTAGCCCCAGTTGACAGCGGGTCCTGAGGGTCAGCCTGCCAGCCCGGAGCTGCTTGGACCCAGCTCAACATGCTGCAGAGGCCCTGGCTGGTGCATGAGGGTGCTTTAGTGCAGGGCTAGGCAACAGTGAAGCACCCTCGTGCACCAGCCAGCCCCATCAGTATCTACACATACATTGTAGTGGAGTAAATAACTCTGCTGTTGGCTAGTAAGGGTGTACAAAGCAGGCAGTATATGATTCAGATTCGGTTTCAGCCCAGTTCAGGGGATAGTGATTCAATTTGCTGATCTGGATCAGTGTCCTGATTTGATTTGGCTGAATCTGAACCTGAAGATTCGATTCTGCTTTGGAGAATCAGTGATTCGGCCATAGACACAGCTTTATATGTTTTTTCTATGTACCTCAAGGTACCAGGCATGGCTTATGAATGCTGAGATGGTGGAGTGGATGGAGCGTCCCATGGGAGCGTGGGAGGGTCCCCCCCGCGCTCGGCGTCAGACCCAGAAGTACTTCCAGTCCACTTGTGGGTCCACCGCCAAACGCACAGGGGACGTCCCCCCAACCCCTGGCTTGGCGATCAGCCATTAGGGGACCCAGGGTGCCAAGCTGGGGGGCGGGGAGGTCCCCTGCATGCTCCGTGGCAGTCCCAGAAATGGACTGAAGCACTTCTGGTCCACTTCTGGGTCAGCTGCTGAGCACGCAGGGGACCCCCCCAGGCTCCCATGGGACGCTCCATCCACCCCACCATCTCAGCGTTCATGAGCCACGCCTGGTACCTCGAAGTACGTAGAAAAAACATAAAGCTGTGTGTATGGCTGAATCGTCGAATCTCTCCAAATTGAATTGGAGGCTCCTGATTCAATTCGGATTCAGAGATTCGGCCACTGAGTCAGGCCAAATCTCCTCCGAATCAAATCAGTGACCTTCACACAGCCCTATTGGCTAGTACTTGTGGCTGACAGTACTATCCTACAGCAGAATTAATTAGTTTACCCTGTTCTAATAGCATCGCACATGTAGACTGTGACATTTTACTGCAGAGCTAATTAGTCAGCTCCACAGTAAATGACTTATATAGATACTCCCTCTGATTCTTATACTGCTTTTGGTTTCATTCAGGCCTCATTTGACTCACCCCCATCAAACCGACTGAAGTCAGTGGTAGTTGGGTTGAATGCAAATTGAGTAAAGACCTTAGGATCTGGCTCAGTGAGAATGTTCTCTATATTCTCATACTGCAAGCCTATCTTATTCTTGCAAATCTCTATATTTTTAAAAATATTTTTATAATAAAAAATAAGTCATATGGCAGCAATTTGTACATGATCTTCCAAGGCATGCTTTTCTTTGGGTTTAAATAAAGTGATTTTTTTAATTTTGTTTTTAGAAGTCTCAGCACAGACAGAGATTTGTGAAATTCAGCAAGATTGGAAGCCTTCATTTCTCAGCAATGAAGAGTTCACACAGCTGATGTTAGAGGTAAAAATGCATGTAATTTTGCCTAGATGTCTAAATGATATGAATGTACATATTCTTCTAAAGTAGAACTTTGTCTCTGATCCCAAAAAGAGAAGAACTTCAGATTCTACCATAATCCGCCATTACACAGAGGTGCCTCTAAAATAAGGACTTGAAACCTGTACATGTCTATGCATGAACAACCACAGTAGTATTAGTTCCCCACTATACGGAAGCGGTGTAGGTAATAGAAGTCTGTAGTAGAAAAAAATTATGTAGCTGTTCCTTAAAAGTAACACACAAAATATTTAATATTTAAATATTATACATTCTGGAGAGGAAAAGAGAAAGCAGTCGTTTTCTCTTTTTTGTACATCTGTTATCATTTAATATTTATATTTCAGTAGCATATAAAAGGCAAACATACCAGGTACCTCTTGGTGCCAGGTGCTGTACAAGCATGCAAGATGACAGTTCGTGTTGCCTCAGTGTTACTGTATTTATTTTCAAGCTGCTAAGAGATCTTTATTATAAACAGGGAGCACAGTCATTTTGCAATTATAGCATACTTATACATAGCCTTTCTTAAATATACAATAGGCGCTTCAAAATCTAATCAAGATTTTTAGGGAAATTACTCAATCTTTGTGTAGGTTTGATATGAAATGCAAATGAGCTGCTCAAATTTGGTTTTTTCTTTTAAATAATTACAACCTTGTAGAGAGCTATCTTTCCTGATACAAAAAAATATAAATATTAACTTGGTGTTGGTACATCACTTATTTTATTTTTGCTTATTTGTTTTCTCATGTTGTGATTTATGAGCGCTTGTATGAGTTTAAAAAAAGTGCCAAAGACTGGATTCAAATTCATAGATTCATAGATGTTAGGGTCGGAAGGGACCTCAATAGATCATCGAGTCCGACCCCCTGCATAGGCAGGGAAGAGCGCTGGGGCTAGATGACCCCAGCTAGATGCCTATCCAACCTCCTCTTGAAGACCCCCAGGGTAGGCGAGGGCACCACCTCCCTTGGGAGCCCGTTCCAGACCTTGGCCACTCGAACTGTGAAGTTCTTCCTAATGTCCAGTCTAAATCTGCTCTCTGCTAGCTTGTGGCCATTATTTCTTGTAACCCCCGGGGGTGCCTTGGTGAATAAATCCTCACCAATTCCCTTCTGTGCCCCCGTGATGAACTTGTAGGCAGCCACAAGGTCGCCTCTCAACCTTCTCTTGCGGAGGCTGAAAAGGTCCAGGTTCTCTAGTCTCTCCTCGTAAATGGTAGGTGCTCAAAGGTACAAACAGTCAGCAGGCATCAGTGGAACAGTGGGCATGAGTAGAAAGTCAGGCAGCCGCTGACCCTGCAAAAGAGGGGATAGCTACACATTCTGCCAGCATTACATTTTAGTTTGTCATGTTTAGTTTTCTTCTCCTTAAATATTTAATTTTCCTCACCATTGACTCTGATGCATGCAAGTCAGTGGTTTTCAAATTTCCTGAAGAACCCTTTCATATCACTTCTTCTGTCAAGGATCCCCTACCTCTATCCTAAAGACTGATGCTGATCCAGACAAACTGTCCCCACAGCGGTGGTGCACTGACTCCCAGCCTGCTCTGCCATTACCTCCAATCTCTGCAGAGCCCCTGATGACCTATCGCAGAACCCCAAGGTTCCATGGAACAGAATTTGAAAACCACGTTATGAAATTGAAAAGACTTAATAGTTTCGTATCTCACAAGTGTTCGTTTGTTAGAATCCATCCAGGGATTTTATACGCAGGGGCCTACTTAAATCAAAGTTTTGTAATTTTTGTGGAAACCATGAAAAACGGCAATCTCCACAATCACTGCAAAAGATGGCATTGGCCACAATTTCCCAGGAAAGCAACCAAAAAAAAATCTTATTAAAAATAAAATGCTGGCTCCCCAGTGGGAGCCAGCAGTCCTCTCTGCCCCTGTGGCCTGGCTTTGCAACCTACTTGGGTGGGGCAGCACAAAAGGCAGCTGCCAAGATGGCAGCTGCCCCCTTGTGACTCTCTGTCAATCAGCACTGACTGGCAGGGCTGCACAAAGAGCAGCCAGCAGTCAAGATGGTGGTCACCCCCTCATCCCTCCTTCCCCTGGAGTCTCTCCACCAATCAGTGCTAAGGGATGGAGCATCTCCGCGAGTCAGCACCAAGAGGTAGGGCAACCATCAAATAACCATGAAATTGGCTCTTTGGGCTGTGACCAAGCTACAAAAATTGCTTTTTCTCACCATGAGTTAGGTAGGTTCCTATTTATATGGCTCTCCATCCCTTATATATTGTATACCAGTTTTTAAGAGACCCTTAATTCACATTTAAACGACATAATTGTACACTCTCATTTCAATGCACAGGAATTTGCGTACATACGTTCTTTTATAATGAATACAAAATGTTTCCTTGAGACAGGAATACATGAATGTCTGGATGATTTAGTGGCCTGGACCTTTGCATGCTACTGTCATAATTGTCAAGAAAAGATTTGAACATGAGTAAATTTATTTTTTTTAATCATATAAATAACCATATCATGTTTAATACTATGAGTCTTCATAATCGGTGAGCTAGTGCTGAGGGGATATCAGGTCATCCTTTTGATCTAGTAAGTCAGTTATTCTTTTTCTATCTGTTTCTTCTTCTCACCCCCTTTTTTGCTTCCCTTCCACATGACTCATCTCCCCCCAAGAGACATTTTTCATTAACGTTTGGATAAGATTCTGTTTGATATTATTCTCTGTCCAGTTATAAAAGTTTGAGGTCCACTTCAAGCAATAGCCTAAAAGAACAAATGGAAAGTCAACAGTAAAATGGTTGCTTTCCTGATAGTACCCTTATCCTCCGTTGTGGGAAATTTGCAGTCAGCTTAAACAGGAGCAGTATTAGACCCTACCTGTACGTCTTGGATTGTTACAGCTGAATAACCGTTAACGAGAGATTTGCTGTCCTAAATAGGACTATTTGCAAATAAATAACAAAACAGAATTATGTCTGCATACATTAGCTTGATTTTACCACAGAAATTCAGATGCGAGTCAGTTTGTATAATTTGCATCAGATATGAAATAAAGCCTCTAATAAAAAAAACCTTCACCATAGTAACATGCACAATCCAGCTGCATTGCAAAACCACTTATCTTTTCCATGGGTTAATAGCAATCATGTTTTTAGAAAACATTTTGAATGTACTAAAGAACAACATTACCTGCACCTAAATTTAACAAAACCAAACTAAAATTAGAAGAGCTAGAGGGTTTCCAGAGGTACTGAACAAATTCTCAGTACATCTGCAAACCCTCTGCCCTTTTCCACTGAACTTAATGGCCAAATTTTCAAAGGTTTGGCGTGCACCAGCAGATCCCATACACTTATACAGTTGTGGGTGCTCAGCAGCCCTGGAAATGAGGAAAACTGTTTGTCTGTTCAAAAACTACCATTTTTTAAAACATTTACTTTATACAGCGCTGTCCAACTGGTGGCCCAGGGGCCACATGTGGCCCTTGTGCGATTAAATGCAATTCCTGGGCTCCTGCCCAGCTGCCCCTCCCTTCTTTGCTTTAGCTCAAACCACAAGCTGGTCTGGGGCAGGGCTGTGCCAGAGGAGCTGAGGACAAGCCTTGGGCAGTGTAGGCATGCAGTGCAGTGGTGGGCCAGGGGGCTGTGCCCATGTGGGAAGGGGCAGTACAGCAGTGGGAAGGGGCACAGTGCAGCAGTGAAGGGGGAAGAGCTTTCATGGTGCATTGGTGGGAAGGTGCGCCCATGTGGTGCAGCAGGGGTGGTTGTACGGCATGTGACTCAGGGAGGTCCCTGGCTTGCCCTGTTGTGGCCTGTGGTTAGTGTGCAGTCTCCAGCCACTTAGAAGCTGGATAGCATTGGTTGAACGTTTTGGGAATTCCTGTAAGGGGCCAAGCCACCCATCGTTCTCTTTGACCTCAGTGGAAAATAAAAATATTTAGTAGCTCACAAGATCAACCCCTTACACTGTTTTGACTTGGGGGTCTTGCAGTGTAGCATCATCATCAAGTGGTAGTACTCCCTAGATTTGGTATACAAACTGCAACTTAGCTGTCACAATAATCTGATTGTTACCTGTGCTGTAAACAAGTATATTCAGTACCACACACATGAGCTCTGATCCAGTTAGTTAATGTTCACAGTGTTGATGCTGTTCAGGTACTACAATGACTGGCAGCAGTTTCAGACTTTAGATGAATTGATTTATTGTTCCAAACCTGCTCCCACAGTAGTCAGTGGGAGTTATGAATTATATTTGAGCACGTACCGTAAGCGCTTCTTAATTTGTTTGATTTGTTGTGGGTTTTTTGCTGTTGGAGTAGATGAGACCTTGGTTTAGACACGTGTGCAGGAGGTTTATCTTAAAATGGAGTCTGCTGTTACAGGCTTTGGGGGAAAATAGTTTTAAATAGAATCTCCTGCAGAGAGAGCTGGTAAGAGGCTGATGCTTCACTTAAATATGAGGGCTGGAGAATCTACTGCTATGTGGGACCTAAGTGTTGCTACAGCCCTACTGTGGTCCTCTGCTCAGGTCTAAATGTCACTCCTGATAAATAATCTAATACTGCACTCTTTAAAATCAGTTCAGACTGAGGCTACAGTTTATTTGGTCCCTTATGTTTCTTTTGTTTACATGAAAGCAGAATAATATACAGTTTACATTAACACAAATGGAGATTAATGTTTTTGTGGAGAGCTACCATTTGAGATGGTGCTACATCCTTTTGTGATGTTTTGCTATTTATACAAAGCTAAAATGTTTCTTTTAATAGCTTCTAAGAATCCAAGCTTAGTCATTTTGCATGATTAAAATGTGTGTTTAATTTAAAAATATATACATGAAATGTTCCCACAAGCCTTTGGTTGCCTCAGCTAATATATTTTTTTACCATACTACAAAGAATGTTGTATAAGCAAAGTTAGACTGTGAAATCAGAGAATTACTGTTCCACATCTTGAGAGAATGTCTCTACAACCTAATAAGAATACGGTGGTAAGGTAAAATGGACAATGAAACTATCTAAGTATATCCCCCTGTCTTTTCCACATGTGTATTTCCCTTAGGCATTAGATGGCTTCATTATAGCAGTAACCACAGATGGAAGCATCATATATGTCTCTGACAGCATTACACCTCTCCTTGGACATTTACCGGTGAGTAATTCTGACGTGCTGTTTTGTAAATACAAATTATGGGGTCAAACATCAAGAACTGAATGTAGTGCTTAATATTGTGAGTAGTGAGTGACACTGACATTGGTAAGACTATTCACTGTGAACCCATACACAGGCTGGGACCTCTGTTTATTTCTAGGACTAATTAAATAGGAGAAACATTTTCATGAAAATGTTGTGAATTTTCTTCCTGCCTTGTGGTGATCTTTTTTTCTTGATGAAATAAGAAATGTTGATTTTCAAGAAAGAGAAAAATTATCTAGCTAGGTTTCTGTCCTTCAAGTGTGATTCATACATTTCAGTTCCCTGTTGTTGTGAAGCATTAAAACTAGGCTGGACAAAGCTCAGGAGGATATTCCGACAGCGAAAGGGACAGGATGACCTGACTGAATTTTTTCATCTTTGATTTCTAAAAAAAATTTTTTTAAATGGCTTGCAGAAGCTGGGATGGTACAAGTGAGGGCAGTGGCATGTTAATGGGTTTACTGAGGTCTGATTCTGTTTCCATTGAAGTGAAAAGCAAGGTTGCCATTGAATTCAGTGGAACAGGATGACATCCTTAATTAGTTGAAAAATGGCATCAAATTATAAGGGAGGTGAAGGTCTGCTTCATCTGGTGCCTCCTAAAGGAATGCAATCTGCTCCCAAGAGGATGCTGGTAGGGTGGAGCTGGTGCTCGGTGATTCTGTGTGTAAGGGTTACTGGGTGTTAGGAAGAAACAGATGTGCTATGCTTTGCTGAGTCTATCTTCAGGAACAAGAGAGAAGGGGCTGCTTTTTAACTGTGCTCCTCTTGATAATCTGGTATGGGGTCAATGGTACAATAAGGCATCAATCCATCCTTCTTTTTATTTTTTTAATAGCTCAGTTCTCATTCTCTAAATTCCCTGCCAATAAATACTTCTATTACACACTCCTTTTTCTTTTTCCTTTACTTTTGCGTAGGAAAAGTGCAGTTATGTTTTTCCCTCTGTCACTTTAGTCAAATGGGTTGCATCACATCAGATATTTTTAACATATCCTACCATGCTATAATATGATCCGAAATTATTTTCTTCTCAAGTGAAAAACAAGTATGATGGAATAAAGAGGTTACTGGTGAACGCAGGAATATTGCTATGCAACAGTAACGCAGTAGCTAAATCCACCTACTTCATTTTTCTTTAATCCTCCACAGCACAGGAGCTCAGTAATCTACCACTTTTCTGTCACATGCGGGCAGAAAGAGAGCCCTTCATGCTGTCCTGCAATCTGTTGGGCCTTCGTTTACCCGCTTCTTTCCATGGGGTTTCTGTACTTTTCAAGTCTTATGAGATGTTTGTCTCAGTAATGCGGAGAAATTTTTTCCTTTTTCTTTTTTTATCTTTTTTTTCCCTTTTTTGCTTCTGGTTTCTAGTGGAAACTGAATCAAATTCAGGAAAGCATTCCTCTTCGGGGGATGCTTAAGTCTCCCTGGCCACATCTACACAAGACACTGACTGTGCTGTTGTTATTGCGCAGTCATTTAGTACTTGTATAAACCATGATGCAATGCTACTATGCAGTAGTCTTGGGCTACTGCGCAGTCAGCGTCACAAAAAAGCCAGTCGGTGCTACTGCACAGTGACATGGGGTCCTGCACAGTCATTTAGTACTTGTAAAATTATACAAGTACTAAATGACTGCAAGTAACCCACATTACTGTGCAGTAGCACTGACAACTGGCTTTTTCTGACGCTGACTACACGGTAGTTCAAGACTACTGCGCAGTAGCATTACATCGCAGTTTCTGCTACATGACGCTACTGCGCAGTCGTCTTGGGCGTCTCAGTCAGCATCTCATGTAGATGCGATCTCTGAAGACTTAAGCTCTATGTGAATAAGGTGGAATTAAGCACTTCCCTAAATCAGAGCCCTAAATGTAAAACCAGCTATTCCCATGTGCTAGTAATTTATAGCAAATTATCCAGTCCCAAATAAGAAAACTGAGGTGTTGTTATTTCTGATTTGTATTGTGATGGAACCTAGGAACCCTAGTCACATCTGGAATTTAGGCACATGAGTCTCGGAATGCCATCCACAGAAACTTGAAGTGCCCAGTATCTTCTAGGTCAGTGATTCTCATCCTGTAGCACACAGGCTACATGCAGCCCAGTCAGTGCACTGCTGCAGCCCATGTGACATCCTGTTAAAATATTTATAAATGGATACACATAAATGGAATTAAGTTGTGTGGGTGTGGCCCGTGTAACACATTGAGAGCTACAAGTGCGGCCCACTATGGCAAACAGGTTGAGAACCACTGTTCTAGGTGCTCCTTTGCGTGCTCAGAGGCACAGCTTTCTTAGCTGAACTGAGCAGGTAGGAGGTGCCTGAGCTCTGCCTAAAGCTGTTTGGGATTCAGATATTAGACTTCCATATGCCTGTGTTCCTAAGGGGCCCAATCTTGTAGGCAACCTCAGAATTCCCCTAATAACTCACCTCGCTGGGGACAGTCACCTCGCTGGGATCAGTTAACCCCCTTGTCTTTTCCTGCCTAGTGCAGCAGGACTGGACCCGATGAGCTACAAGGTCTCTTCCCTTCAACAGTCTATGAATCTATGAACTCTGGCTTCAGCACCTGCAGCCAGCTTCCCTAAAAAGGCTGGTAATGGTGCTTTCTTGTGCATAATAATCTACTAGTTAGAACATTCACTTGGGGACGTCTATCTTGCTGGGATCCTTTGACCCCAGCTAACTTCCTGCCCCTGGGGCAGGGGACTGGACTCGATGATCTTCCGAGGTTCCTTCCAGCCCTCATGTCTATGAAATCTATGAAATGAAAGGCTTGTTCTAGGCTCCCCTGGATCTGACAGGTTTCAGTTTTATATCTCCCACCCCTGTGAGAGTACTCTAACCACCTTGCTAGAAGCGAAGCTAGCCTGGGTGAACCCAACATCTATCCTGTTGAAGTGTAACCACTAGGCAGAAAGGAATTCTGGATTCTGGTCCCTGGTCCCAGTACTGTTTATGTAGTTTATCCTGTGATTACGTATTGCAAAAAAAAGCATAAGCAGACCCAGGAGCAGAAACTAGAAGCCTGGACTCCCTTCTTCCCAGGTGAGTGCTTGTCTTCAATGGGCCTCAAGAGTCAGTCTCCCCCTTGCCTGCTTTATCTCTTGCATTTCTTACTGCCCACTGAGTGCAGCTCAGAAGAGTTTATTGGCATGTGTACACTGTGGCACTAAGCTGGCTCTACTGCTTTCAGTTCAGGAGCTAATTTCCACAGAATGGATGCAGAGCCTCTCAGTACAGTGTTAGGGTAGGGGAGTCTAGGAAGGGGATTCAGCTGGGAATCCCAGCCTCTCCTAGGCACCTATCTGCTTGCCTGAGTCTGGAGGAGAGATGAGATTACAGACACATCCTGTCAGCATTTCCTGTTGACTGGTTAGTCATCTCTCTGCCCAACATGCTTAGTATGGTAAATACCAATTCTAGGCCTCCCCATTTAAGTATATAGAAATTTGACTCCTAGTTTATGTCTCTGAATTCTATGGGTCCCTAACGTTTAGGCACGGGAATGCACATCAAGTATCACTAGACATAAAGCACAATGTAAATCTGGCCCTAAGCTTATACAATCAATTAAAAAAAATCAGTGTGTAAAACAACCTCACCAAACAGGTTTATGCACCCATAGAAAGGCAGCTGAGAATTTAATAAATTAATCTGTGTGCATAAAGTATACAAATGGATACATCTGTTACAAGATCTGATTGCACATGCAATTAGCTGGCACATTTTGCACATGCACCCTTAGTGTGCGATAACTTAGTCCCAGGCTGCCTATATTATTTTATAATTGTAAAGTGGATTAAATCACTATTTTAAAAGCAATTATAGCTTATATTGTGTGCTTTCAGAAACTGTTTGTAAGCTATTTTTCATTGTTTAAAGGGCAAGCCCAGCCTCCTCCTTCTGTGTCTGCAGAAGGAACTACTGTAGTACTGCTGTTTTTGTGGGCAAGAGGAAGGCATGAGTGGGCAGGACACAGAGCAGGGAGCCCTTGGGGCTATTACTGAGATGCTGAGGATCTTTTATTTCAGCAAAAATGTGAAAGACCAGATTGGTTTTATACATTTCTGAAGTCAGAACAAATAAATTCCATTCTGTTTTTATGCAGCTTCCTTGACATTCTAGAATGAAATATTTTAAAGTAAGAACCCCGCCTACAGTTAATTTATGCAAGGAATTCTTGCTCTGGTTTGTTATATTTTTAAATTACCCATTCCTACAGGATATAGGTGCCACTTTTAGGTTTGGTTGAAATAGAGATCGAACCTTTGCACCAAGACTGGTGATCACTCAGTGACAATATTCCACTAAGTCTGCCCAGAGCTTGAAGTGTTTCACAACAACATGAGATACCACTCATCAGAGGCAGATCCAGGGTGGGTGCAGTGGTGCAGTCATCCCCCACCCCTCCACTTTGATTCTTGGTCCACCCAAACTTTAAAACTAATTGCCTGGCAATGGCAGCAGCATTTCTATTCAGGCAGCAGTGAAGGAGTCATTTGTCTACACGGTTCATTGTAATCTATCTGATTTCTTCTAAACTCTTCATTCTACTGGTGTTAACAGCTCCTTCTCATATTTAATGGTCTTAATGTTCCACCAGTCAAGCTCTTTTCTTTTGTAATTCTGCTCTCTGTTAACTCCTGGTAATGTAGCTCCTATTTCACAGCCTTGCAAAGCATTTTTAACTCTTGCTAAAAGCATTAACTCAGGTGAGCATTAACTCAGGTTTGTAGATTCATAGATTCATAGATTGGAAGGGTGGAAGGGACCTCGGAAGATCATCAGGTCCAGTCCCCTGCACCAAGCAGGAAAGACAACTGGGGTCAGGTGACCCCAACACGGTGACTGTCCAGTCTCCTCTTGAAGATTTCCAGGGTAGGCAATTGCGCCACCTCTGGAGGGAGCTTACTCCACAGTCTGGATTCCCTAGCTATGAAGTAGTTT